CACACACACACACACACACACACACACACACACACACACACACACACGACGTACTCGGAGAGGCAGGGAGGCCACCACGTTCACACAGCACACAGCTTACTAAACAAAGGAAGACAACTGTAATCCAGCCCACTCCCCAAAGTACCTTCCATGGTGACTGACGTATGGCTGTCCTTAGAGTCCTTGGGCCCTTTCACTTTGAGTTCCTGTGAGAGGGAGGAGAAAAATCACTAACCGTTCTGTCCCCCAGCTTCCCTCTCTTACGCTGAGGAAGACAGGGCTTTAGCAACAAGAGGCAAGAAGGCAGACTCTGGATTAAGACTGACTGCTAGAAAGTACTGTGGCAAAAAGACTTCCTCGCACCTGTTCCCTGATGCCCTTGCCTCTGGAGGGCGAGTGTAGCCAAGAGCAGGAACCTCCCCCACTGCCAAGCACTGCTCAGGTGTGTGTACACACTAGCCCCAGGAAGAGACTGCTGAAGTCAATATGCACGAGGTATAGCAGCTGTCCTTTGGGAATGAACACCCGAGAGCCATGGCAGAGGGGGCCTGTACACCTGCGCAGTAAGTAGAGAAGAGACGGGCATGGAGTCCACAGGGCAGCCCAGGGGCACCCTCCCCATGCAAGGAGTAAGCCAGCCCCTAGCCCTGTTGACGTTCCCCTCTACCTCCCCTGGAACCTATGACAAGTGACCCAGGAATGAGTACTGGAAACAGAGATCATAGCATTGAAACCTCTTCCATCTGCTTTAGAGGCAGAGATACCCAAGCCTTTGCCAACAGGACAGTGGCTGCAAGTGGAGCTGAAATGCGATCCTCAGTGGGCAGGCCAAGCCAGAGCCAAGAGGAGGCACACTCTCCTGAGCGGCAAGGGGGCAAGGGGAGGCCAAGGTCAGGTGCCCAGGTGGCACTGCCTGCTCCGGCTGGGGAAAGGCAAGGCCCACACAGTAGGAGCTCATTTCCTGCATTGTCTCCAGCTGTTTCTAGACAGAGAAAACCCCCAGGAACTGAGCTTGGCACGTGGGGGAGGGGGGACTATGACACTCAGCTTCTGGATTCCCTGCTTTAAGGGATTTTGGTCCATACCCCCTCCAGTGCAGCCTAGAGGTATGAAATCACTGCTGCTGCAGATGAGAAGGGCCTAATTGCAGTAATTAAGTGGCAGCGCCAGCAGGAAGCATGAGCGTCATCTTCTCTGAGTCAGGATGAGCAGCCACCTGGCAGAGGGCCACGGGCCTGGCTCTGCCCTCTGAAGCAGGCTCTGGGGGTCGGGGTGGGGGAGCTTAATGCATGGACGCAGGAGAGTAGATGTGGGGGGGGGTGCTTATGCATGGATCCACAGAGAACAAGCAGTCAGACACTCTTCGGACCATGTTGACCTCTGGGTACCCAGGGCCTTAACAGCCACTGCGAACACACATCAGGGAGTCCAGCTGATTCCCAGGGAGGGTTGGATGCTGAGAGGAAGAACCAACTCTCCAGCCTCATGACTTTACCAAGAGGTCTTCCCCACTCTTGTCCTGTCCTCCCACAGGCTGACACAGCCATCTGACCCAGGAGTTTGGGAGACAAGCACAAGCCTTCTCTCTATGGCCTCCCATCCTTCTAGAACCCAAACAAAACATTGTTTCCAGAGCCAAAGCATCAGCTCCAGCACCTACACACCAAACCCTCAAGTTCCCACCTGCTTTCTAATAACCAAACTGCCACATTTTCCTTTTTAAATTTTATTTCACTTGCTTATTTTGGCGCTCTCTCTCTCTCTCTCTCTCTCTCTCTCTCTCTCTCTCTCTCTTCATCTCTCCTTGTCTTCCTCCCTTCCCTCCCTGTTTCCCCCTCTCTATCTCTTCAAACAGGATCTCACTATCTATATAGCCCTGGCTGGCCTGGAAGCAGCTCTACAGACCAGACTGGCCTTGAACTCCCAGAGATCCACTTGCCTTTGCTTCTTGAGTTGCTGAGATTAACAGGCCGTCACCATCATATTTTTATTTTCACTTGCCCAGCTGCTGTCTGGTCTCTAGACTGATTCCAGCTTAGGCATGAGCTGGAACCCCAGCAGTTTCAGGGAATTGCATGTCTCCCTTCCTTAACACCAAAGCCAGGGATGGGGCTACTTCAAGGCAGGACCTCCACAATTACAAAAGTAGCCCCTCCCCTAGCTCCCTCTAAAACAGAGGCTCTCCTGCCCTAAGCTCGAGTGGGTGCTTCCTCCGAAGCTAGTGGCTTGAGAGCGTCACAGGGGTCTTTCTGAATAAAGAATGAGCTGAGCTAAGGGGTCCTAGACCACCAGCCTCTCCTTGCCACTTCCTGGAAAGAAGTCCCAAAGCTAAGTGGGGCACAGAGGTGCCCACCTATAATCCCAGGATGCAGAGGCAGGAGGACCGCTGCACTGCTCCAAGTCCGAGGCCGGCCTGGGCTAAAGGGTGAGTCTTCAGGCCAGACCAGGCTGCATGGTAAGACTTCGCCTCAAAAACAAAACAAAACAAACCAATAACAACAAAAGAAGTGCCAATGGCAGGTGACTTTCTACCTCTACCATACATAGGTGCAGGAGGCGAAGGCTTAGCTGTGGAGCAGCAGCAGGAAAGTTCCTGACCCAAGGGGTCCTAGGGCTTCCTGTATCCTTAACTGACCCTGGCTGACTCCGTGAGACTGCAGTCTTAGACATGCAAGTACCTTTCAAAACTGCTTAGCCTGGAGTTCCTCACATTTCCCTTCCTTATGCTAAGTCAGGAGCCCGTCACAATGTAAACTGCTGCCCCTGGGCCACCCTCCCCACTTGAATCGGAAGATCCAGGCCCATCAGGGCACATATCTGTAATCCCAGAACTCAGGAGGCTGAGGAAGGGAGATGGGCCTGAGCTGCACAGAGTGAGAGAGTGGGAGGAGATGCTGGAGGGGGAAGAGAAAAGGAGCTCTCCACAAAAGCAGGAGCCGGGCGCCTGCACATTCAACAGTGCCCCGGTGATGTCTTTTTTAGATATGTGTACATGAGTGTAACTGCGTGCACGTATGTACACATGACTGCAGGTGCCGGAGGAGGCCAGAGGTATCAGATCTGCAGCTGGAATTACAAGTGGTCACCCGACTTGGGTGCTGGGAACACAATTCAGGTCTGTGCAAGAATAGTAGGAGCTTTTAACTGCCAGACTATCCTCTTTCCACCTCATCCCCATCAGGAAGGTTTTGAGATGAGCTGGGCAGGTCCAAACAGCTCGTTCCACAGGAGAGGAAACAAAGATTAAGGTTTGAGAGGTCACGTGGTTAAGTCACGAGGAATATCCCCCTCCCTTATTTTTTTGCCTCCTCTGATCCACTTTCTAATCTGAAAAAAAAAAAAAAAAAAAAAAAATCAAACCAATCAATATTCTTATATTAAGAGGAAAAAAAATGTCAGTTGCAAGAAAGCAAATGTCAGGGTAAGCATCACTGTGGTGAACAGCTTCCCTGAGGCAAGCAAGAGAGGAGATCCACAGTCTTCAGCAGCTTCTCAGACTGTCACCAGAGCCCAGGGTGGCTGGGGTGGCTGTGGGGAGAGCAGCCTACCTCAGAGATCTTCTGGAACTGGTTGTTGGACTGGCTGCACTTCTCAGCTGTCTCCAGAGCGACTTTATAGTTATCCACAAATGCTTTGTACACACCAAGCTGGCTGGCCTGCAGGGAGGAGACAGAGGAAGTGGGGAGTCAGGGGTGGGGTGAGAGTGGGATGGAGAGAGAGTTAGTGAATGGATGAAAGCCTAACCCGAGCTCCTGAAGCCTGCTTAGCACTCAGAACCTCCAACTCAACCAATGGGCTTGCTGGAAACCAGGGGGAAGGCAGAGATGAACACATTACAGCACCCTTTGAACTTGACAGTTTCCATGGAAACTAGCTCAGCCAATAAGGTTAACAAGGTGGTACCAGGAGTGGGGAGGGCAGGACAGGTTCCTGTTGGCATGCCAGAAATGCAACTTATCACAACACTTGTTTTTTTATCTGTTTGTTTTTGGTTTTGTTTTGTTATTTTTTCACTTTAGCACCACGGTCTCCCAGGGCCTGAAGTCTCTTGGTGCCTTACAGCTCTTCCACGTCTTGGAATTAAACAGCAGGGGAGATAGGGCAGCAGGGAGGATGGGGTAGTCTGCTCAGCCCCTTCCCTGGGTCCCTCAGGTCCTGTCCCCACCTCCTCCAAGGAGCCAGAAGCCCTGCCTCACTACACACCTAATGCCAGCTGGATGCTAACACTTGTCCTGACTGGCAAAAGCCTTGCCGCCTCGAGGGCCCATCACCCTTCCTTCAAAAAAGGAAACTGAGGCTTGCTAATTTAATTTCTCAGATATTTATGACAAGCCTTCTTTGGGCTGTGTGCGGATACTTCCTTCCGAGAGAATGAAGAGTGGGCATGCAAATTAAAACTACAGTGGCATTAAGCTTTGTTCCGAGCCCTCAGACTACAGCTTAAGTCAATACGGCTACTTTGTCAGTAACTAATCAAACAGCACAGGCACAACTTCAGCCTTCGGCTTAGCAAGTCTACTGCTAACACAAACCACAACAGCACGCCATCTAACACGGCGGCCACGGGTCACGTATGAAGGCTGAGCATGCGCAGTGCGCCAGTGCAAACTCACATACGCTTCATGGACAATCAAGCCCACCTTGGGGGCAGCTGTGGTAACACACCTTCGATCCTAACACTCAGGATGCAGAGGCAGATGGGTCTCAAGGCCAATATGGTCTACACAGCCACGTCCAGGCCAGCCAAGAATACACAGTGAGACCCTGTCTCAAAACAAACAAAACAACAAATCCACATTGGATTCCAAAGACTCAGCATACAAAAGAGGATATAAATTATCCCATACACATGTGTGTACATGTAGCATATATGTTTTACCATATAGCCGGGCAGTACAATGCCCGGGTTCAAGTGATCCTTCTGCTTCCGTCTCCCCGGCAGCTGAAGAGCAAGCAGGCCCTGCCATACCCACCTTGGATTTATTTGTTTTCTGTGTTCCTGGAGAGCAAACCCAGAGCTTTGTGTATGGGAAGCAACCACCTTACCATATTTCTCATTTTTATTTTTACTTTTAAAAGCTGTGGTTTATAGGACTGGGTACATAGCTCAGTGCCAGGGTGTGCCTGTATATGTGAGGCCCAGGGCTCACACCCCAGCACTGCTTAAAAAATAGTGATTACTAGGACATTTTAAATTATGTATGTGGGGCCAGCAAGAGAGCTCAGTGGGTGAAATCGCCTACAGCAGTAAGCGCAGCTCTTGGACCCCCAGTAGGAAAGAGTCAACTCCTGAAAGCTGCCCTCTGGCTTCCACACACGCATCACGGCTGCCCCCACATCTACACTCTCTCACACAATCATACTGAATAAAATAATCTGAAACTGCATGTGGCCCATCACCTCTTTCCATTGGATAGCACTGCTCTTGAGGAACCCGGACGTGACCGTGCCAGAGCTGACCTGAGCAAGGACACCCGCAGACCCCCCCTTCTTTCTTACAGAAGGAGAGGTGAACAAAGGCTGGAAAACACAGGAACTCTGACAAACACAGTCCAGGAGAATGAACACATGTATCACAGCAAGTGGTGACTGAACTACGAAATGAACGCGTGCACACCTGAGCACTTTTAAATCAAATCGCATGCAGTGCCGTAAGAATATGAAAGCGCCAAAAGAACAGGGCTCCACGTCAAATTCCCACCAAGCTGCTTCAAGAGAAGGGGGGCAGGATGAACAGACACCCCTTCATTTATAATACTCCGTATTTTTTGTTTTGTTTATTGTTTCTGAGACAGGGTCTCATATAGCCCAGGCTGGTCCCAAATTCCCTGTGTAGCCCCGGATGACCTTGAACTGATCTTTCTGTACCTACCTCCCAAGTGCTGACATTACAGGCTATATGAGGCTCCTCTTTTTACTTTCCATTTGAGACAAGGTCTCATGAAATTGCCTAGTCTGGCCTTGAACCTGCAATTCTCCTGTCTCAGCCTCCTGGCTAAAACTTTTTTTTAAAATAATAATCAGAAACTTTTACCAGGGGAGGGGCTGGCAAGATGACTCCACGGGCAAAGGCACTTGCCACACAACCCTGGTGACCTGAATTTGATCCCCAGAGTCCATGTAATAGTGAAAGGAGAGAACAGATTCTCTATATCCCTCCAAGACTGCACATACACATTATGCATACACACAGATGACGGCGACGATAACTATAAGAGACAGGGAGGGCGAGGAGGAGGACAGAACAGAAACATACAACAGAAAAAAAGGAAAAGGTTTGGCACTTCTCCACTGACCCTGACATGCTGAGAGTCGCTGATGCTACTGTCTACTGCATTCTCTTCTGGATATTTTTGCTTTAATTTTTTCCCCAATGAAGTAGCAACAGAACACAGCTGCTGCAGGCTTCCTTGGGGGCTTCTGCTTCCAACCACGGTGCTGGGAAAGTGTGCTGCTCCTGTGCCCACTCAAGATCACTGTGTTCCCTGAAGAATCCTTGTTCCCTCAAGACACAAAGGCTGGGCAGGGGCCAGGGTGTCCTGTCCCTCGAGCCTGGGAGGAAACAGGGCCCTTCACGGGAGCTGGTGAGGCTGCCCTTGGGACAGGGAAGCCAGAGTGGAAGAGCATGAACCCAGACACTGAGAAGAAGAAAGGCCCAGGCAGTGCAGTCTCAGAAGGAAAAGTTCCTGGGGAAGGGGCAAGGGGGTCAAAGTGAACTTTTCTCCAGGGGACCCTTTGCCACTAGTGCTCCAAACCACAGATATGTGCTGGACGGACGCTCCCAAAGCCAGCACAGATCACACAATCTCCCAGGAAGGGTCACGATTTCTTCTTTTCTTTCTTTGAGATAGTCTCCCGTACCCAGCATGTCCTCACACTCTGCGTAGCCAAGTTTAGGCATGAACTTCTAATCCTCCTGCCTTTATGCTTCCAGAGTGCTAGGATTACAGGTGTGGCTGGCCACACCCACTTTTATTTAGAGCAAGGTACTGAATTCAGGGCTTTTACAAGCTAGGCAAACACAAGACAGACCGAGTGGGTACACCAGTGCTGCCCTCTTGTGACCCAGAAGCCACCTGTGTGCAGGGGTCATGGGCCACAATGGCTACTTTCATCTCCACAGTTACCTGAGGCTGAAGACCAGAGGCCCAGCCCGCCAGGGTCATTAACTGGGAAGTGCAGGTTGCTTGGAAACAGGATTTTGGCACTGGAGTGATCTCATAAAACAAATAGCAGAGATGCTATTTCCCCTCTCTTGGTAATGGATAATCAAATACCCAGAGACTTGGGCTGAAATAAACCGCCTCCAGATGCCTGGCTTGCCCTGGCTCCACCCAGGCCTCGCCAAGTAAGCAGCCTCAGGGAGGCAGATACCAGCTCCTGGTGCTGGGAGGTGTGGGGCGCTGGGAAGCAAATTCATAACCAGACCAGTGGAGCTAAGACTAAGGGAACCCTGAACCCAGACGATAGGGACGCAGCAGTAAAGCTATGCACAGCGGGGGTTCACACTTGCAATCCCAACACTTGGGAAGCTGAGGCAGAAGGATTGCTACAAGTTCAAGGTCAGCCTGGGTTACAGGCACCCTGCACAAAACAAACAAACAAGCAAGCAAACAAAAAACATCAACAACAAAACCCCAGAAATTTCAAACTGCAGAGCTCTGCCACTCTGCTCTGGCTGCCTGCTCGCCCACCGCTTGTCTGTCTCTACACCTGTGAGGGCTGAGAATCAGTGCCCCGATGCCAATCATCCCAGACTTCTGTAAGCAGAAAAGATGACTAGTTATCTGCCGTCCCTACACCAGGGGAAGTGGCTGGGTCTCCACTGACCAGGATCATGACATTCTGGGAAACAACACCTCCCGAGGACGGAGCCCCGGAACAGCAGTAACAAGGGCAACAGCAGCGGGCATTTTCAGTCACTAACTCACTCCTGCCAATGATCCAAATGGATACCAACAGCCCTCTTTATGGAGGAGGGAGCTGAGAAGAGCGGGGTAAGCTGTCGCTGGACCATATGTGGCAGAGCTGGGCTTCAAACCCAGCTGTGACTCGGCTCTGGTTGTGCTTGTCCACACAACACTTGCGGCCTTGAAAACAAGGCTGTCAGGCATGGGGATGTCCTTCAACACTCAAGACCTCCCTAGTCCCAGTCAAGGCCTCGCTCACTCAGCTACCAGTGGGGTGGGCCTGGGAGTCCAATGAGGAAATAGAGGCTGCTGCAGTGTTGATAGCTTTGGGGGGGGAAGGTAGTTTTGTAAGTGTTCATGAGGGACAAACATGGGGCCTGTGGCCATTCTCTGAGGTCATTCTAACTTGGGAACTGACTGGCCATTTTACATTAGACAAAGCCACAATCTACAGAGGTCAGGAAGCAGCGTGGTAGAACGGGACCCAGAGCCAAGGCAGAGGGCATCACAGGAGCCTGGGCGACTGGAGGACTTCCTCGATCATCTTCCAACACTGAGCCTCCTCTCCAGCCACAGGAAATGCCGTCAGCTGTTGGTGCTCTCTGCTCTGGGATCACCCGTAAATCAGGGCCGTATCTGTCCAAACGCTTCATTTTGCAAAGGCAGCACTAGGATGCAATAGCCTCCCACGGTCTCAGGTCTCCTGCAGCCTATCACGTGCCTCTCTGGCCATGGAGTGACCACGGACCTGTATCCTGGCAGAAGAAGCTCCACGCCAGAGCTCAGAGAACCCCCATGAGACAAAGGCAGCACCCCCCAGAAATACGCACACGACCTGTCTCCTCTGTGAGCCCTAGAAGCACTTCCAGGACTCCACTAGGATGGGGCTGGGGTTGAGGGTCCAAGTCCAGTTGCCCAAAGAACAAACATAGGCCCAGACTGGCCTCCATCGGCTCAGAGATCCCAGGCCTCAAAACGACCAAGAGGGCTAGAGTGAGCCTTGCTCTGGCAACGAGGCTGCCTTGGAGACGTGCCCTCGCGGGAGACTCACCAGCTTCTGGAAAAGATGGCCCATGGTGACCTGGCTGTCCCACTGCTGCACCTTGGGGCAGAGGCTGTCGTAGAACTCCTTGTGGATCTCGTAGATGTCCTGGATCTTGTAGAAGATGGTCTCAATCTGCTGGATGGTGAGCACGGGCTGGGAGGTGGTGGCTGTGGCCTTCAGGGGTTTCATGGGCTGAGGCGGAAGAGGGATAAAGTGCAGAGGTGTGGATGAGTGAACCCGAGTTGCTGGCAGGTCCCAGGCAGATTGTGACACTGACTAACATGCAGCGACGCCCAGTCCTGCCTAGACAAGGCTGCCGAAGGCAGAGTACCTGAAGTACAGTTTCTGTCTCAGGGCTGTGGACACAGGTACCAACAAGCCATACGCAGAGGGAACCTGACAGCAGCAATCTGCCACGGCCGCCACAGCACTCCCCGCCCCCACCTGAGCTCACAACCCCTGGCTCCTATGTGTTCACTGGGCCATTTAACAGGTCCTAGTCTCTTCCACAATGGCCTCCTCATGCCCCAGCCTCTTTGTCTTCTCGCTTCAGTGGAAGGGAGTGTTGCCTGGAGGCCAGGTCCTTAGCTGCTTCCTTTGAGAAACAGAGGTCGGTTCTAGTGCTCAGGAGGTAACACCAGGAAGAGACTCAAGCCCAGCTCAAACCAGGTCTGTAATGGCAGTCCCCCATCCCCACCCCCACCCCCAAAAGGCTGAGGTAGGAAGCTTGCAGGTCAGCCTGGGCAACACAGTGACAGCTCATCTCAAGAAAACCCAAAGCTAGCTCAGGCTCGCTGATGATGTCTCAGTTCTCATCACCTGGTGAGAGAGAGGAGCAGGCACACACAAGCCACCCTCCTACTCCCCACATCCCAGACAGACATGCAGGCACTGCTAAGCAAGTGTGATGATCTTTCAGTTTTGGTCTCAGACTCTTACTCAATGCCTTCTGACATGAAAATGAAAGCAACCCATCATCCTTTGTATCTACACGGAGATCACGGGGGCCCACAAGTGGAAAGGGCAGCGCCAACGCCAATCAGCACCATCCCATCCCTAAGCACTGCCTGGGATAATGGGGCTTGGGTACATTCTCTTCAGAACGTGCCTTTGTTATTTTCCAAGTCACCCACAATGAGGCTGGGCACCGTGGTGCCTGTCTATCAGCTGCTCAGGAGGCTGAGGCAAGAGGATTGCGTACCCTCAGACTTTGATAACTGGAAAACAAAGGAAGGAAACCCCCATCTCAAATTTTTAAAAAGGATTAAACAAGTAAAATTAACATAAACACCTGAGTGTGGTGGCCCACAACTTTAATCCCAACATGTGGGAGGCAGAGGCATGTGGATGTGAGTTTGAGTCCTGCCTGGTCTTCAAAAAAGAAGAGTAACATAAATAAGTAACATAAACAGAGTAAAATAAATAAGTCACACACGATAATAAACATTAATTTATCAGAAAAAACTCCCCAAAGATGCTAAAACTATACTGCAGGGTGTATAAATGTAAGCGAGGGTGCAGAAATATAAGCAGGGAGGACACAGCCCCCCAAAAGACAGCAGCCTATACTAGATATGACTGTCTTCTACCTGAAGGCCGTACGGAAAGGGCTCTGCAACAGCCTGTGTTTCCCTGCACACCTGGGAGCAGCGGGGAGACGATACGGGGCTCAGCATGGGCGCACCAGAGCTGTACCCCACGCTCACAGGAGAGGGCCGGGAGATAGCTAACAAGAGAAGCAGCCTAGTAGCGAGCGGGTGAGTCAGCCGCTCAAAGCACTGGACTGGCGAAAGCCCCTCCACTGAGGGAAGCAGAGTGCCCTCTGTGCCATGGCGGCCAGCCTGGGTTCCTGCCCAGTCGTCCTCCACCTTCTCTCTGACGGTGGCTAAGCCCCAGTCTGTCCACAAGAGGAAGTCTCACGTACCCAGACAGTATCTGACTGCTGATGACTTTCTATGTCCTCCACATTCCACAAAGTCCAGGAACAAGACAAAGCCAGGGTCAAGAGACCCACCGACACTCTTGGCACTAGAACTAAGTAACCTTCAGTACCAAGTCTTTGCTGGGAAACAGGGTGGGATTTAACTTGGGTCAAGCCAGGCAGTGTGAGCTGGAGCCAGACTGCCATTTACTAGTTGTGGGCAAGTCATTCCTCATTCCTGAGTGTACCATCACGTCACTAGCAGACTTGTGTGTGGAACTGAAATGGTTTTACCTTCTCAAGAGAACCAATAGGAAGACCAAACCTCAGAAATCACACATTATATAACCAGGGGCTGGAGAGACGGTTCAGTGATTAAGATTGCTTCTTGCTCTTGTAGAGGACCTGGGTTCGGTCCTCAGCACCCACACGGTGGCTCAAGACCGCCAGTAACTCCAGTTCCAGAGGATCTGATGCTCTCTGGTCCGTGCATACATGTGGTGCACATAAATTCATGCAGAGCTGCGCACGCACAAAGATAACAAATCTTTAAAAAATAATCACGTTATCTAGCACTTGCTTGGCATAGAGAAGGCAACCAATATTATTATTCACCCTGTGAATAATGAACCAAGTGCTGAGCATACGGCCAATCCCAGCATCCAGTACCATCCCTGGAACATACACAATCCCAGTCCTCATGGGGATTACAGTCTAGGAGAGGAGACAAATGAAACACAAACCATCCAGCATGTAATTATGCCCACAAGTAAGTGCAATGAAGAAGCGAAGGAAGGACCACCTAAGGCAGGGCGATGGGATGGCTTCTCCAAAGAGGGGAAGGACGCTTACTCTGAGCTAGAAATATGGGGCCTGAGGGAATTACACTCACCAAGATTTCCTTGATGACTGAACTGGAGACAGAACCAGGCTTGGTAAGAGATGACCGCTGATGGCCATCAGGCCTATGTACAGTGCAGAGATGCAGGGCAGGAGGAGGAGAGGGGCTGGAGCGGGGCTGGATAGACCACGGGAGGATATGCATGCAGAGGGGAGTGAGGCTTGGACCATGCAGTGACCCAGCAATTTAAGAGCTTTAAGCAGAAGGAGTGATAGAAGTCCAGAGTGTGGAGATCATATAGGTGATCCATGATCTCCTTTCTTGAGAGCAATTAGACTCCGCTTGCAAAACAAACTGAAACAAATCAAACAACTTTGTAGCCAGAGTGAGGCAGGAGAGTTCCCAACTTGGATATACTAAGGTACCTGAGGAAAGGCGTCATGGAGGAGGTACAAGAAATGGGGCCTCTGAAGCTGGGGAGATCTGAGCGAGTGGAGGGCTGCATGAACACTCAGGTAAGGGAGCAGGAGGTAAGGAGACAGTGGGCGGCCCCTCCTTTCAGATGTGACAAGACATCAATCTCTAAGACCCAATGGACAGGTATGCTGGATGGAGCCCCAAAGCCACTCATGCTTGTGCCTTGGCACGATCCCCACGGTGGAGCGGGTAAAGGAAGTAGGAGATCAGTCCTGGGAAGGCTAAGGTTTCTCAGAAGCTGGCTGTTGGGGAAACACGCACTCCTACGCCAGGACAGGCCCAACAGCTCTGCTTCCTCCTGAACTTCCCACTGTCTGTGAAAGGGGAAGAAAAACACTCTCACGTGGGCCAGCCTGCACTGGAGGTATGGGACTTTCTCACCAGATGAAGGGCTTCTGCTCTCGTTCTCCATGGGGAAGGGCTGGCCGGCCCTCACTCAGTTATTTTTATCTGAAGACTCACACACAGATCTCAGTGTGGCCAGTTCTCTCTCACTGAGCTTTGACCCAATATTGTCATTAGGACCAGGGAGCAAACAAACCAGCTCCCTCTACCCTCCGCCCTGTCCAGCTGTATGGCAAAGGTGTGACAGAAGCTGTCAGGAGAATTCTTAGCGAGAACCCCCATGTGACCTCAACCCCCAGCCTTCGAGCTTCTCGCTAAGGTGGGGGTTGGCTAGTTCTGACCTCACATGGTCGTGCCTGCTCTGTCCACAAGCAAGTGGCCTTTCGAAACAGGGGAAAGAAATCTGCCCACTTCCTCAGACTCCTCCCCGTGAGGGCCTGGCCCCAGCCAGGCACACTTACTAACATAGCCCTGGTTGCTTCTTGGAGCTCAGGGAGGAGGTTAAGTTAACCTATCGCATAGATAAGCAAGCCTAGGACTATGAACTCCAAGGGAAACAGCCAACATGAAAGGCGAAGGGAAGGCAAATGGGCTAGCTGCGGATGGGCCACGGGCATAGGATATGCGTAGAACTACAACCCATTTAGTTTTCTCTTCTTTCTTTTACAGCCCAATCCCAAACCTGGGCTCCCACACCTCAGGGTTAACAAAGCTCTTCAGAAAAAAGATTACTAAAGCTGGCCCCAGCCACCACCCAGGCACCAGCAGCCAGGCCCCGTAGGCTTTCCTGCCTGTGCTTTGTTTCTGCCTGTGTGTAGTCTTAGGTACACAGACCTAGTCCTTTGCATACCAGGAAGTATCAAGGGGAAAACAGACACTCTGCACTGCAAAGTCACTTTCCATTTTTAAAGTCACTCCCTGAGGCATAAGGGACTTGTGGTTATAAGGAGGGGGAGAGGAGAGCCAAGGAAACAGTTTCTCACCCCTAAGCTAGACCACCCGGGAAAAGCCAAGTAGAGCTCCTCAGTGGTGGAAAGGGGGTGTCTCCCCGATTTGTGAAGAAGGGGGGTTATTGAGTTCTTATCTTTGAGGTTTATCCTCTGAGCCAGGGGCTGGGGAGAGTCCAGCCCCACCCCCTCCCTAGGTCTTCTTCCCACCTGTTCCCCCCCCCACCCCCAGAGGCCCGAGTAAACAAGTTGGGAGCTGTGGTAGGGTGTGCAAGCACAGTTGTGCCTTTGGGGTAGGCGCTGTCAGAAAAGCAGGGAGGCCCGGAGCTGGCTCCTAAATCCATCTTGGCCCAGATAAGAACGTCTGATGGCGGGAGGATGGAATGTAGAGGCAGGCCTCTCAGGGGTGCCTCCTCCTCTGCAGTGTGTATGTGGGGGAGGGGGAGTGACAAGAACACAAATGCCCGCCCGCCCCCC